CACCCGGCTGTGAAGCCGCAAGCTGTCACAGCTGGGTGCCCACACTAAAGATGCCGGCACCAGGGAGAGAAGACGACCGGGTGAAACCAGCCGCGGTGAGGACACTGCTGGACCGAGGGACAGGTAAGTGGCTGTAGTTTTTTTAGCTGTTGACTTCTTTTTTTTCCAGCTGGAACTCCGCTTTAAGAACACTGCAGTCATATGACTGGCAGCAAAAATCTGATTGGCTGTTTAGGTTCACCATGAAAAGATGGCACTTTAAACCCAACTCAGTACTGACAGGTTCTCTTTAATGTCTCCGCTTTTCCTGTCTATTCCTTCCTGCCTCCCAATCATAGCCAACCCAGTTCTACTCCCTACCAGCCCGGGCTGACCTTGCCTCTGCCTCCCCAGCCGGCATGGAGACCCAACACAAGGAGCTCAGCACTATCAGCAGAAAACCAAACACAGCCTGCGTTTCAGCACCGGTCTCCACCAATCACCGAGCGAGCCAGAAGCCCGGAAACATTCTGTGCGTTCCAACAGCAGTATGCACCAATCGCAGTGCAGGGAGAGGAAGTACGGAAATGCAGGGTGCGTTCCAGCAACGACTTCCGCGGCCTCTGCCAATCAGAGAATTAATGCGCGCATACCACTAGCGATCTCCTCCAATCACGGACGGGTTTAAGGCTAGTGAGCCAATCACTACGCGACTATCCAACTACTGCACTAGCAACGTCTCCTGTATTTTCTCCGCACAAATCAGGCTCCAGGCTGATCTCCAAGTGTATGTTGGCCCGAAACTGGAGAGTTGCATGCTGTGATCATGAGTTTGTATGGTGGTGAGCTGTGTCTCTGCCCTTTCCCCAGATCCTGCACATGGAGGAGGTAAGAGCAGGCACTGCCACCCCCACCCCTGGAGGGTCAGATACTGATAATTACATGATGTAATAAAAATACAATGTAGGGGTTTTATTAATAAAGTGTAACTAAAGGCAAAACGTTTTCTTTTTTATTGCACAGAGTAAGGCAGGACTATAACCTCTGTCAGTTTTTATTTTGCCATCTCCGTCTCATGGGGGAAATTTCCCTTCATTTCCTGTCCCAAAACAGGAAGTGAGAAGAAATCCCTCCAAGTGAGGGAATCCTGGGTTGTCACCAGAACTAGTATCCTGTTAGAAGATTTCCCCTCTATTACTGTCTCAGGAACAACCTCAAATTTGGGATTTTCTTTTACTTTTGTTGATAATGGAGATGAATAGGGTGAATCTCTCTAACAGGTGCACTGACAGCAATAGAAACCTGACAGGTGCTCTAATATCTCTCCACATCCAAAAAAGGTTTCCCTTTTAGTTGCGCTGTAACATAGATATACACCCGATCACTACATTTCCATATAAGATGTGCAGGGACTGCCATGTACTAATTATTTTAGTGTTGTCAGCAGTAGGGTTTAATAAAGTTATAGGGGGTGTATTTATATAAAAAAAATTGCTTAGCTCTGTGTAAATTCATTTTGTAGCAATGGGGCAAAGTCGAATATACTCAGGCTGTAGTCTCTGCAGATCGAATATATGACTGGGGATAATACCGCAATGTGGCCACTAGATGGCGCAGAGGGTCATTTCTTGTAATAGTGCCATCTAGTGGCCATAATGCGGTATTTTCCCATTAACATGTGCAGAGCTGGAGAACATTCCATTTTTTCCCCATTTATTTCAAGTACTTCTATAGCGCCATCAAATTACGCAGCGCTTCACATATATATTGTACATTCCCATCAGTCCTTGACCCTCAACGGGTGTACAATCTAAGGTCCCTAAACTCACATTCATACATACACACCCCATTCACACAGAACAGATTTATATACAGCTTCAATAGATGAACAACTATGCAAGTTTTCTATAAATACTTACCATAGCGATATTGCTGCATAGAATTGGAGCATGCCTTACTATTAGTAGGTGTATAACCAATCACTAAAATCCCACATAGGTGCTAAAATGGGTCATTTCAGAACTCATTTTCATTCTTTTAAAATCTGTAGCGTTTGTTAAACGATTGTCGTCACCCATGTAATGTATATGTGCCGTGGCAAAGAAAGGCACCGTGCTTGTGAGTCCATGGGCAGCAGAGGTTTCTGTGCTGAGAGCGCTCTCAATGGTAATCAGCTGCTGCAATCTCTGTGTTCTAGTGAAAAAGCTGCAGTTTCTGCATCCCTTTAGAAGTATTTAAAGCTGATCTAGAGGAATTCAGCTATTTTGTAAAAAGTGAAGGCATACCACGAGTTGAGTCCAGTGAGGTGCATGCCACCCCATGGACGTAGCACTTTAAATTACATCTGACAGGTTTTTTTGTGCTTCAGAAAGACAGCTTACTGAGCTCTGATCTCAGTTCCTTAAATATGAACCTGCAATGCCAGTCTCTCTCCTCCTGTCCAATCACAGAAGCCTTTGTATTATATTAAATATGAAGACTAGGCAGGGGAGGGGTGGGCATAGCTGCCGTGTGCTTTTTCTCCTCACAACCCAGAGTGTAGACTCCAGGAGTGCAATAAACCTGTTAGATGTAAATAATAGAGATAAGTTCAGGTAGTGACATGCTGCTAATTGGACTTACTAGTGTGCCTTCACTTTTTAAAATTTGCTGATATCCCAGAAAGCTTTTAAGTGGTTGAAATCTCCTAAATGAAAAGTGAACAAAGCATATCCCGCTGTAGTATGTACTAGCCTCAATCCAAATCATTGAGTGTGGTTGCTATCTGCTGTCTCTACTTTCTGCTATCGGTATGAGTCACTCCTGGCAGTCTATGCCGACACCACAGAATCCTGGGGATGGCTCCACCCCCTCCAGCACACAGCAGGGAATAGACAGTCTCAGCTGTGCATGTTTCCCTACGGTCTGTGTAGGAGGAGATGTCTCCTTTCCCTCCACTCAGATCTCAAGGTACACTTGGCTCTCCTCTCTGTGCTCTGCAGTGTGTGACATCAGATCCCGGCCCCCTGCCTGCCAGAGCTCAGAGATGCTGTGTATGCTGTATTTGTTTTCTGTGAAAGTTGAGTTATCCTTCAAAAGGATCTCCTACAGTGAAGGAAATAAGTATTTGATCCCCTGCTGATTTTGAATGTTTGCCCACTCACAAAGAAATGATCAGTCTAAAAATCGAATGGTAGGTGTATTGTAACACTGACAGACAGAATAGAAACACAAAATTCAAAAGAAATGCATGTCTAACAAATGATGCAGTGATTTGCATGTTCATGAGGGAAATAAATATTTGATCCCCTTCACAAAACATGACTTAGTACTTGGTGGCAAATCCCTTGTTGGCAATCACAGAGATCTGACGTTTCCTGTAGTTGGCCACCAGGTTTGTACACATCTCAGGAGGGATTTTGGCCCACTCCTCTTGGCAGATCCTCCAAGTCATTAAGGTTTGGTGGCTGACGTTTGGCAACTCAAACTTTCAGCTCCCTCCACAGATTTGCAATCGGATTAAGGTCTGGAGACTGGCTAGGCCACTCCAGGACCTTAATGTGCTTCTTCTTGAGCCACTTCTTTGTTGCCTTGGCTGTGTGTTTTGGGTCATTGTCATGCTGGAACACCCATCCACGACCCATTTTCAATGCCCTGGTTGAGGGAAGAAGGTTCTCACCCAAGATTTGAAGGTACATTGCCCCGTCCATCGTCCCTTTGATGCGGTGCAGTTGTCCTGTCCCCCTGGCAGAAATACACCCCCAAAACAGAATGTTCCCACCACCATGTTTGACAGTTGGGATGGTGTTCTTGGTGTCATAGGCAGCATTCCTCCTCCTCCAAACACGGCGAGTTGAGTTGATTCCAAAGAGCTCGATTTTGGTCTCATCTGACCACAACACTTTCAACCAGTCCTCCTCTGCATCATTCAGATGTTCAGTGGCAAACTTCAGATGGGCCTGGACATGTGCTTTCTTGAGCAGAGGGACCTTGCGGGCACTGCAAGATTTCAATCCTTGTTGGCGTAGTTTGTTACCAATTGTTTTCTTGGTGACTGTGGTCCCAGCTGCCTGGAGATCATTGACAAGATCCTCACGTGTAGTTCTGGGATGATTCCTCACGGTTCTCATGATCACTGACACTCTATGAGGTGAGATGTTGCTTGGTGCACCAGACCTAGGGAGACTGACAGTTGTTTTGTGTTTCTTCCATTTGTGAATGATTGCACCAACTGTTGTCACCTTCTCACCAAGCTGCTTGGCGATAGTTTAGTAGCCCAGTCCAGCCTTGTGTAGGTCTACAATCTTGTCCCTGACATCCTTGGACAGCTCTTTGGTCTTTGCCATGGTGGAGAGTTTGGAATCTGATTGTTTGATTGCTCTTGTGGACAGGTGTCTTTTTTACAGGTAACAAAATGAGATTAGCAGCACTCCCTTTAAGAGACTGCTTCTAATCTCAGCTTGTTACCTGTATGAAAGACACCTGGTAGCCAGAAATCCTGCTGAATGATAGGGGATCAAATACTTATTTCCCTCATAAACATGCAAATCAGTGCATAATTTGTTAGACATGCATTTCTTTTGAATTTTTTATTGCTATTCTGTCTCTCAGTGTTACACTACACCTACCATTCGATTTTTAGACTGATCATTTCTTTGAAACATTCAAAATCAGCAGGGGATCAAATACTTATTTACTTCACTGTATCTTGCCTATCACCACCACTTGCAGACATTCTAACCTCTTTCCTCCAAAACTAAAAGAAAAAATTTCACCTGAATGTCTAACAATCACTCCCAACAATCTTCTCAATTTTGTTTTTGCAGATAATGGACAAAAAAATCTTAAGAAGAGAATATTCGGTGGAAGTACTTGAGTTAATATGCTTGTGACTGTAACCCACAAGGCAAAGACAACATTGATGTTCAACATTTCATTAATCTGGTGCCACCATCTACTATCAAGCAGGGACATTACATACATCCCTTAGAAGTGTTCTACGTTATATTAAAGGTGAACTAAAAATTTGGGAGATCAAAAAAATGAACGTGGATTCAGAAGGCAGTATAAGTTTTGATCCCGAGAATTCAGAAGAAAATGTAAAGAGACCAAGAAAAAAGTCTTGGTTAAAGTCAGGCAGCGGCTCTGACTTTAAACCCTCGAAGACTTGCAGCAGTGACAAGCGATTGAGTAAAGCCAAGGAGCCAACCAAGGTTGTTCAAGGCGAGAAGGAGAAGCCACAGTTTACATGTCCACTGTGCAAGAAGACCTTCAAACAAGCTGGCCATTACAGAAGACACGAAGCCCTCCATGCTGGAAAGAAACTCTACAAATGTACCGAGTGCGAGAAAAGCTTCCGAGACAAGGTAGAACTGGACCGGCACATGAGGACCCATACAGGAGAACGGCCTTTTGAATGTTCTGAGTGCAGAAAACAGTTTATCAACAAGGCCCACCTTACTGTCCACGAGAGATCCCACACAGGGGTGAAGCCCTTCACCTGTTCCGAGTGCGGGAAACAATTTGTCAACAGGACCCAACTTACTGTCCATGAGAGATCCCACACAGGGCTGAAGCCGCACAAGTGCCCCGAGTGTTTGAAAAGTTTTGTTCGGAAAAATCATCTCAATAGGCACATAAGAATCCACACTGGGGAGAAACCCTTCAAGTGTGAGAAGTGCAAGAAGAGGTTCACTAGGAAGTTTAGTCTGGTTTTGCACTGCAGATCTCACAACCAAAAACATTTTTCAAATTTGGAATCCGATGTATCTTCTGGTACAACTGATGACTCGGATGATTGGTGAGATGCAGTCAGATCCATAAATATTGGGACATCAAAACAATTCTAACATTTTTGGCTCTATACACCACCACAATGGATTTGAAATGAATCGAACAAGATGTGCTTTAACTGCAGACTGTCAGCTTTAATTTGAGGGTATTTACATCCAAATCAGGTGAACGGTGTAGGAATTACAACAGCTTGCATATGTGCCTCCCACTTGTTAAGGGACCAAAAGTAATGGGACAGTTGGCTTCTCAGCTGGTCCATGGCCAGGTGTGTGTTATTCCCTCATTATCCCAATTACAATGAGCAGATAAAAGGTCCAGAGTTCATTTCAAATGTGCTATTTGCATTTGGAATCTGTTGCTGTCAACTCTCAAGATGAGATCCAAAGAGCTGTCACTATCAGTGAAGCAAGCCATCATTAGGCTGAAAAAACAAAACAAACCCATCAGAGAGATAGCAAAAACATTAGGTGTGGCCAAAACAACTGTTTGGAACATTCTTAAAAAGAAGGAACGCACCGGTGAGCTCAGCAACACCAAAAGACCCAGAAGACCACGGAAAACAACTGTGGTGGATGACCGAAGAATTCTTTCCCTGGTGAAGAAAACACCCTTCACAACAGTTGGCCAGATCAAGAACACTCTCCAGGAGGTAGGTGTATGTGTGTCAAAGTCAACAATCAAGAGAAGACTTTACCAGAGTGAATACAGAGGGTTCACCACAAGATGTAAACCATTGGTGAGCCTCAAAAACAGGAAGGCCAGATTAGAGTTTGCCAAACGACATCTAAAAAAATCCTTCACAGTTCTGGAACAACATCCTATGGACAGATGAGACCAAGATCAACTTGTACCAGAGTGATGGGAAGAGAAGAGTATGGAGAAGGAAAGGAGCTGCTCATGATCCTAAGCATACCACCTCATCAGTGAAGCATGGTGGTGGTAGTGTCATGGCGTGGGCATGTATGGCTGCCAATGGAACTGGTTCTCTTGTATTTATTGACAATGACCCAAAGCATACTGCAAAAGCAACCAAAGAGTTTTTTAAGGGAAAGAAGTGGAAAGTTATGCAATGGCCAAGTCAATCACCTGACCTGAATCCGATTGAGCATGCATTTCACTTGCTGAAGACAAAACTGAAGGGAAAATGCCCCAAGAACAAGCAGGAACTGAAGACAGTTGCAGTAGAGGCCTGGTAGAGCATCACCAGGAATGACACCCAGCATCTGGTGATGTCTATGCGTTCCACACTTCAGGCTGTCATTGACTGCAAAGGATTTGCAACCAAGTATTAAAAAGTGAAAGTTTGGTTTATGATTATTATTCTGTCCCATTACTTTTGGTCCCTTAACAAGTGGGAGGCACATATGCAAACTGTTGTAATTCCTACACCGTTCACCTGATTTGGATGTAAATACCCTCAAATTAAAGCTGACCGTCTGCAGTTAAAGCATATCTTGTTTGTTTCATTTCAAATCCATTGTGGTGGTGTATAGAGCCCAACATGTTAGAATTGTGTCGATGTCCCAATATTTATGGACCTGACTGTAAAAGGCTGTTCAATGGATCATATAATGCTTGGAATGGTGACATAATCGTAGGGGTGGAGTGGTACTGACACATAGAACTGTGTTTTTCATCTTAAACAGAGAGGAATTGTCGAGTCTATGTGGCTTCAACAAGCAGAATAAGCCAACAGTCATAGTCCAAATAGGAGAGTTCTGTACCAGAAGATCCACCAGTGTTTTAGGACAGACATTTTGATAAAGGGTGTTGGTGTATCTCCTGGTATAGTGTTTCAGTAAAGTCTTCCTATTTGGACTTTAGTGCTTGCTTTCTCTGCAGTTTCATGTTTTCACCGTACCATTGTACAGCCATGCACCTTTTAGTTCTGGGCTCAGAAGTTTGACTTATATTGGGTATCTGTTGCTATGTGTTCCTACTGGAAAGAGTCACCTTCTCTGGATTCCCGTGACCATTGTCACCAAAAAGTTAATAGATAATCCAAATCTTTACACTGAACAGAAACGGGAATAGAGGGGAAATTTTTCCACTGAGTGCACCTGTTCTGGTGACAACTGCCTAAGAGTGGACTTTAGTTGACTTTGGAGAGTTCTCATCAGTTCTTGTTGCTTTTACAGGACAGGAATTAAAAGGAAGTCTTCCCCCATGGGACACAAAAAAAATGGACAAAAGCAGTTGCTTTCAGGTGCACTACTCTTGCATTTTGGGAAAGGTTCACAGTTGAGTTTCTCTGAGCATTTTTGTACTTTTTTCTTTTTAATGTGCGTTTGTGGTGTTTTCCAGGCTTGAGCTTTTTTTGTTTTGAAAAGCCATTGGAAAGCTAGCTACTAGGAGAAGGAGAGGCAAGAAATTCACTGAAAAACAAGCATTTTCTGGTGCTACCATTGAAGCCTGGTGATACCAAAGACATCTGTTATTGCCCCAAAGAAGCTTGTGCTCTTTTCAAGCTTTGTTTGATATGAGATGTTTCTTAGAACATGCAGCATTCATTGATGGGAGCATATGATCTGCAGGTGCGCTCTTTCTAAGCTGCTTCAACCTGCATCAAGTTGCTTTTGAAGTGCCATTGACCAGCATGGGGAGAGGAGGAGTGGTTTTGATGCAAACAAATGCCTGTCTATACAGGCCCATGACCATTCTCCTCTTTCAAAAACTATACAAACAAAAAAAGTTTTGGCTCTTTAGATTTTGATGATCCTAAAACATTAACCACATCAGAGTAATATTATTCTGCAAACTGAAAACTGCTGACTACCAGACGGGACCTCGTTTTACATTCTCCGTGCTTGTTTCTATCGGGTACATTTTAGATTGTCGGAATTTGCTAGCAAATGATCAAACTATAGTCAGTGACCACATTAAGGCTCCTAAAAAGGGAGGTTCCGAGCACTTCTGCATAAGTAATTTAGTTTAGAAGAACCAGTCATGATAGCATTATGGCTGTTGTCAGTACTGACTTGTTTTTGAAGGTGAAAGCTCCTTATCGTTCGGTCTATGACCTGGGACAAAGATGGAGCCAGTGGAAGGCTAGCACTCACATACTTGTTGCAGGTCAGTGACTCAACATTAAAGGAAGATCAGGTGGACAACACTGGACCCTGACACCTTCAAATTCAGTTGTCAGGCAGGACCTGTTTTTTTTTTTCTATTTTGAGTGTTCTTCTTTACACTAAATTCAGACATACAGTAACACAATTCAGAAAGGTCCAATTGAGGTTCTGTAGCATGGTCTCGCAGCCGGTGTTTCTGCCTTGAAAAGTGAAGGGTGTTTTGACTCTTTCATTATCTCTTTATATCTGTTCTTAACATTACTGGCAGTTTGAACGCTGATGTAGTAGTTAGTATTTTAAAGTGGACCTAAATGTAACCACTTCTTGGTTACACATATATACAGCCTCTCAGGGGTTGGGCTTTAACAGCGAGCGGGCGCATATATGTGTCCCTATGTATACACTTTATTGTGCTGAGAGAGCATGCTCCCAGCACAATAACTAGCAGGTACAAGAAAGCATCCGAAGCATACTTGCGATTGGGGGCTTTTTCTCAACATGTGACTGCCAATAACATCAGTCACATGATCAGAATGCCCAGTTCTGCCTCCCGGAATTTAGAACCTGTTAAAGGGCCAGGAGGGAGTGGCAGTAAAGAGTCAAAAAATTAAGATTTGCCACATTATAAGGAACATTTAGAAATGTTACAGTTAAACTCTAGGTATGAGCTCCATTGTATACCTACACTGGTATACATATTTATCACCTCAAGGACCACTGTGAAAGCTGACAATCACTGAAGTTAGCACTAGTACAGTGATAGCCACAGTCTTCTGAGTCCTGTGCCAAGCAGCTTCCCCTCTGCACACTGACCACAGCGGTCACTCGCTCATCACTGCTGCCATTCATAGAATACATTTTATTTTTTCAACAAATACAAGCCGTTCTGTGCTTGGATCAAGTGCCAATTTTTTGTAGTCACCACCCATCCTTGCCAACTCATCCAATCAGAGAATGCTTTGTATTTATTGAAACCATATAAGGTGTTCTGTTAGTGATGGAAGTGCTTAGCAGGTGACCCTCTGTGGTTGGTGTTCATGTAGAAGATCACAGTTTTCACTGTAGTAGTGCTGGTATGAAATATGCATACATTTATCGATCCACCCTGGACCAATGGCAGTATAAAATATATAGCTCATACCTGAAGTTCAGCTGTAATTGTGTCTAAACACTATCCTGAAAAAATTACCTTTTTCTGTGATTCCTTTTGAAAATTAGCAGAGCACTTTCTGTGAGTATGCCTAGGTGCACCTGCTCCTACAGCTTAATAGCTGTATAGCTGCAGTGTGAGATCCGGGACACTGCTGCCTGATTGCTAGTCCCAGGTGATTTGTAGTGAGTTCTAGTGATGTCACTACTCTGCTGCCTACTGTTCTCCTTGCTGGAGGCTTTGAAATAAGGAACCAAAGCCCTGCTTCTGCCAAGATGGCTGCCTCCATCAAGATACACAGTGAAAATCATGGTAAATCAATAATGGGGAATTATTAGCTGCAGGGAGAACATGGGCACTACTGGTGACTAGTCCTCTGCCTGTCTTTGTGGGCAGAGCCTGCAGAGTTCAGTTCCCTTTTTTAAAGTGAATCTGTCATCAGAAATTGACCCTGCAAAAGAAGAGTTTTAATTCTTCCAGTTCTGTGGGCAGTGCCTTTGATCCTCACTCATTTGAAGGACTGCACCTTCTCGGTTGTCCTACAAATTTCTAGGTGTGTCCAATATCTGGTCTACCACTGTGGTACCACCTGCTGGCCACCTAGTGCAGGATTGCTTAGCTAGGGTTCCTCCAGAGGTTGTCAGGGGTTCCTTGGGAAATGAGAAATTTCTGCCTCTTAGATAAGTTCCCATTTACACCAATTATCTTTTTAGCTATCTGTAAGAGGGGAATTCTTCCCCATGACCACAAGTATAAGGAACATTCTTCCTACTGACCCTCAAACTAATGT